CCTCTCCTGAATCTATCTCACCATCTCAGTAGTCTGAAGAACTAACTCTGGACCAACCACTACTGACTCACCCTCCTGATACCAACATAATGGAGACCTACACATCATGATTATTTTCTATCAACCATTTAACTTTGTATTAATATTCGCTTATCTAATCTCTTTTATTTAATGGGTTTTAAAATACTTAATTTTTTTTTTAAATAAATATAGGAAAGATTACAAAGATGATCGCAATTAAGACTAAACCTAAATTTTTATGTTTTTAATTATCTCAATCCCTTTCCCACCTAACCATTAGGGTTAGTGGTTAACTTAATTTTATTTCATCATTTACTCCTGATACCAACATAATGGAGTCCTACACCTCCTACCATACAAAGCCTCAAAAGGCGCCATGCCAATACTCGCATGATAACTGTTGTTGTAGGTAAACTCCACTAATGGTAACACCTCCTCCCAGCTACCCAGATGATCCAAAACAAAAGCTCTTAGAAGATCCTCTAGTGACTGAATTGTCCTTTCCGACTGACCATCTGTCTGTGGATGATAAGCAGAACTTAACCTCAACCTTGTCCCCAACGCCTGATGCAGAGTCTGTCAAAACCTAGAAGTAAACCTTGGATCTCTGTCAGAAATAATACTAGAAGGCACTCCATGCAACCGTACTATCTCTTTGATATACAACTGTGCAAGTCTCTCCAAGGACCACCTCTTGTTGACAGGAAGAAAGTGTGCACACTTAGTCAACCTATCAACAATCACCCAGATAGAGTCACTGTTCCTAGCTGTCCTAGGCAACCCAACCACAAAGTCCATAGTGACACTATCCCATTTCCACTCGGGAATCTCCATCAACTGTAAAACCCCTTCGGGCCTCTGATGCTCAATCTTCGCTTTCTGACAAGTCAGACAAGCTGCCATAAACTCTGCTAACTCTCTCTTTATACCAGGCCACCAGAAACTTTTCTTGATGTCCTGATACATCTTAGTCATACCAAGATGTATGCTAAGACGACTCATGTGTCCCTCCTCCAGAACAGCTCTCTTCAACTGTGAATCATGAGGTAAACAAATTCGACCTCTGAATCTCAAAATCCCATCAGTACCAAGCTCAAAACCAGCTGCCCTCTCCGTACTAAGCAATCCCAAAATCCTCAACAACTCTGGGTCCTGTAACTGCTTAGTTCCCACCTACTTCAAGAACTCATTAGTTATGGTGATCATACAACTAATGTGATCCTGAACAACCTCCACCTCTAATCTCAAATCTCTGAACTGCTCAATCAGTTCCAACTCCCTAATCATCATAGCCGACATGTGAATGGATTTCCTACTCAATGCATCAGCTACTACATTCGCCTTTCCAGGATGATACATCAACTGGAAATCGAAGTCCTTTAGGAATTCCATCCACCTCCTCTGCCTCATATTCAACTCTTTCTGATCAAACAGATATTTCAAACTCTTGTGATCACTGTATACACTGAATCTCGCACCATACAGATAGTGCCTCCACGACTTCAAGGCAAATACCACAGCTGCAAGCTCCAAATCATGAGTAGGATAATTTCTCTCATGGGTCTTCAGTTGCCTCGAAGCATATGCCACTACTCTCCCTCCCTGCATCAACACACAACCTAACCCCTGGTGAGAAGCATCACAGAACACATCAAAATGCTCACCAGTGTTAGGTAACACCAAAACTGGAGAAGTGGTTAACCGTCTCTTTAGTTCCTGAAAACTCTGCTCACAAGCGTCCGTCCAAACAAAAGGTTGATCTTTTCGAGTCAGTTGAGTCAAAGGCATTACTATTCGAGAAAAACCCTCAA